CGAAAGTCCAACGCCGCTGCAAGCAATCACAGTGATGAATCAGACATTGGAGGGATATACATCACGTTTTCGGAAATACATTTTTCGGCCAAAGTATACTGACGTTGTAAAAACCGTTCAAAGTTACCGTATTTACCGTTAAGTTGCCACTTCAGCGAAACACTTCTCTGTTGCCAATATGGCCAAGGGTAGCGTGGGAAACGCCACTTTAAGCCTTGCTAGGCGCTCAAAACCATCCTAAATAGAAGTATATAGAATTAAAAGAGAAAGGAAAATGAAAGATTCGCAGAAAAAGAGAATAACTCGAAATTACCATCTGCTAAGGAGAGTTGAATCTTGGAAATGTTGTCGCGTGACAGCGTTCATTTGTCCGAACTGCAGCGGGATCCAAACAAATACGTGAAATATAAGTTTTAAAAAAACCAGTCTTTCTATCACCAGAAATCGTGAAGTGAAACAGTTTTGTGTTTTTCGTATTAATGATGATGAATTCAGCCTCAGCTAGTCTCCAAGTACTTTGAATGTGGACTGGTTGTATTTCGTTACATACATTCCAACGGACGTTACGGGTCAGCGCGTGTAGGGGTCAGCGGACCTGAAGAAAGGTGACGAAGTTGGAGAGCAACGCCATGCTAGGGGGCACATTGGTAGGTACCCAATATGGAAAATAAATGCGGTATCGGTATTTCGTCGATTTTTTGACACGGTATTTCGGTATTTACCAATTTTTCTCACGGTATTGCGGTATTTAATCAATTTAATTTAATTCAGGAGCCCATCATTGATGGGCTCCTGTTTAATTTTGCGAGGAAACGTGAGACGACCTCGAACTGATCGGTACAACGAACGAAAAAGATACCCTACCAATTTCATCACAGATTATTTGTCAGAAATTGTGTAATGGTAATCATTTACCATTAATCTAAAGTCTTAAAAATACTGACGTGCGTTAAACTAGCCTGCGTAGCAGGCGCTTGGAAGTAGTGGGCGCGAGAGAGAACGGGCGCGCGTGAGGGAGACACGCGAGGGGTGATCCAAACGCCTGCTACGCAGGCTAGCATTAAACAGGAGAGGGCAATGAACAGTACCGCAATACCGTGATCTTCTTTTACCGAAGACCGTTAACCAAAAGGAAGAAATACCGCATACCGCAGGGCTAAATGATATTACCGCAATACCCCACTTTAAAATCCAAATTACCGAAATACCGCTTGAAAAAAAACTCAATACCGTAAGCCCCCATTTCCCCCTCCATGCTGTTGAAGAGGTGATAGAATATTTGGGCTTAAAACATCCAATTATATTTGATGTTTACAATCTTTGTCATAATTATCACAGCAACAAACTTTCATCTTTCAATGTTAGTGTTGAAAGACATGTGCGGGTATTTCGAAATACCTTACAAATCTACAGATCTAAAAAGAGACCTTTTAGCCAAGGTTTCAGTGTAAAGGAATGTGACTGAGTGCAGCAAAAAATAATTTCATTCTGTAACTTTCCTGCGCAAGAGTTTGAGTGCATGGTAGGCTGTCCAATCGGCAATGTGACAAGTAGTGCGTTGTGCACTGGTTATCATCTAAATATCATAAATATTATTGTGGAAACAAATTATGAAGCATATTATAAAATGAAGTTTCAAAATGAGTGAGGCACTTTCATCGATTTAAAAGTCCTACCGGTCTCCTATATTTTTTTATGATGTCCTCCCCAATATTTGGGTGACCCCATTCGGCAGAATGGCGGAATACATGCAATCAGTTGTAAAATACGGAATATACGTAGTACTCTAAAACACGGAATTTACAGAATATTCTGTATTTGATTTGAACTGGACTGACGAAAAACCATTACCCTGGTCCCAGAGGTTTTTCTTGATTTTTCTTCGCGAAAGAGATCAAGAGCAAACCGCGAAGCGGTGACAACGAGTCACGAAAGCGACGAGGAGAGAGAGAAAAACCTCTGGTTACCTTGGCCTCGAATCTCACTTTCATGCAGACGACAGCTGTCAAACGCGTCAAATTGCTAATAAAAAGAGTGACCAATGGCAACTTAGCAAACACGTGCTTATCAGCCGCTATTTTTTTAAGTGGGGGTAGACCTGGGGAAATTATGTTATGAACAAACCATCTTCACTTGGGTGGTAAAGAGTGATTTGTTAATCGGGGTCAAGCTAAAGCATGTGTTAACGATGGGCGACAAGAGTCCAGGAATAAGAAGACCACTTTATAAAGAAACCGACATTGTTCCAAACGAATGCTGCAGGATTTGCAGAATTTATTTGGGTATGATAACAAGGATTTTTCACAAACATTGTCATCTGTTCTGTCGGCAGTGTGCCAGCGGGAAGTTGTAAAGTTTGCAAGAGTCTATCAATCGCGTTTATTACATTGTTTACTTCTGCGGGGCGCGCCGTTTGCGTCGATTCGTGGGCATTCCCCTGAAAATAGTAATATTAATATGTATTCTGGCAATCTGGCTCGCATTTTGGTTTGGTGGCTCC